AAAAAAAGGAAAGAAAGATGAATTCTCATTCCCTCTCTATGTCTTCCAACATCTCCAGAAGTTAATATGAAGTTGGACTACAACGTAGTGCAACCTCCCTGTTCTCTGACTGTGATGGCCAACACAAAGTTATCTTAGTATGAGAGCAAGGCCATAAATGTTAACAGCACATGGGGTCAATCTAGGGAAAACATTTGTATGCTAATTTAACCATCACTGTGAATGGTCTACATCAGGGTTTCAGGCAAGTTTAAATCTGCTATTTACAGATTTAAAGACCTATATATATTGACTACTTTCTATTATGTTACATCATGACGGTCTTGAAAATAATGAAAATAAAGCTAGGCTACACATTTTTGAGTAGAGGATGTGATTTGATGGTAATTTTGTGGTAATTTTGACAGGAGAAAAGAATAAACTTAGTATTTAAATATGTTTGGCAATCCAATTCCAACCAAGATATTTGTTCACTTTCTGCAACTGGAGGTGCATTCTGTTAGTGATGAAGGAAATAAGAGTGAGGTTTGAACACAGTAAGATAATGGAGAGCAGCTCAGACAAATGGATACATGAGAAATAGGATCAGAGAACAGACTCGGACAAGTGGCCCAAGACAGGAAGGTCTAAGCTGCCAACTCTCCAAATGACTTTTAGAGATCCCAATCTGAAAGACAATACTCAAGAGCTGAGGAAAATCATTAAGCTTCCCTGAGCGAAGAGATGTCTCAGAAAACGATCCTGTATAATAGCTGGTACTGGAAGCTTTTGTCGGAGGTATTCTAAGTATAGGAAATATTCTATTGTTTTCGTAAGTCTTTTTATAAAAAAGGTTTTTTTCCAAATTTCAGTGATACGGAAATTAACATATTTCTTTGTTAAATAAAAAACACATATCCTTTAGAGCATGTAAAGCCCATGAAAATCTTGATGAGACTCAGAGTGTGTTTCCTCATAAGACACAAAATCAGCTTGAGTCAAGTTTCAAGAACAGGGTAAGAGTTTAGAGACATTTTCCAATAGTAAGAAGGCAGGGGTAGGAAAAGTAACCTATGGCTTCTACAAATCCTTGTCACATTTGTTACAATTCAGGTGAGAAAACTGTCAGACACTGTGGAGGTACAGCCCTACCACACAGATGGCTTAGAAACAATAAGGCTCTTGGTAGGGCCCAGGACCTGTTCAGAATGGCAAAAGTAAAATGAGAAAAAATTTCTCTCTTTTTTAACAGTGAATTTTCCACAAAAATGACAGAAACATTATCACCAACACCTAGGTGTCTCCTGACTGGAATAATAACATTGGAACATTGTGAAGGAAAAATGGGGAATAGGAAGTTTTAACTGCAGTAAGATAAAAGGATGGCAAATAATGTCCTATGATAATTGCTTTTTATCTCTTCTACTGTAATTTTATATAGAATTGTTTTATGAGACAATTTGCTAAAAACAACTGCCATTTTCTGAACTCTGTCATGGAATATCCAAAATTATTAAACTTTGATTCAATGATTAAAATTAAAATAAAATTCCCAAAGTCAGTCAAGTTATTAGGGAAATTAACCTAGAAGGATATTCGGTAAGGACATTCATCTTCCATGATTTTAAATTATATGTTCATACAATTTCACTACTCTAGCTAATGGTGTTGCTCATTTTAATAAAGTCATTTGATTATTTATTTAATTGTCAAAATCTAAGTAAAAGGAAGATGATCCTGTGTATCTTCATTTTTTTGAAATCATCTTCATTTCTATCAGCCTTAATTGACTCTGGTTTCTCAATGAAACCTCTACCTCACAGGCACATTTTGTCTGAATAATAGTAAGAGAATTGCAGGAAATGCTTTAAAATGTACATTTGTTTCTGAAAGAAAAAAATTCCAGAAGATGGAAACTATTTCAATTAAAAAAAAAATCAACTGTTTCCTTCTCAGGGATGATCTTACTCTTTTAATCTTAACATAAATTATTCCTTTCTGGCACATTGGGGGTCTCAATTTTGCAAAAGTACTTATTTATATATTGCGATATCTGACTAATGAAGGTGTGAGATATTCATGAGTCATTACCAAGTTTTGTGTGGGAAAAGGCACCATGAGCTGTGTACCCTGAAGTGGTATTAGTGCCAAAGAATCATAGAATGGTTTGTGTTGGAATGGACCTTTAAAACTCATCTAGTTCAATCCCCTGCCATGGGGAGGGACATCTTCAACTAGATCGTGTTGCTCAGAGCCCCATCCCATCACCTCTCTGGGCAACCTGTTCTGGTGTTTTACCTCCCTCATTGTAAAAACCTTCTCTCTTATATGTAACATAAATCAACTCTCGTTCAGTTGAAAACCATTACTCTTCGTCCAATTGCAGCAGGCCCTGCTAAAATGTTTGTCCTCATCTTTCTTATAGGCCCCCTTTAGGTACTGGAAGGCTGCTCTAAGGTGTCCCCAGAATCTTATCTTCTCCAGGCTGAACAGCCCCAACTCTGTTAGCCTTTCCTCATAAGATTCTTGCTCCAGTGGCCCTCCTCAGGACATGCTCCAACAGGTCCACGTCCTTCTTGCGCTGAGGACCCCAGAGCTGGATGCAGCACTCCAGAATATAGCATAGTAGAAGGACATGTAATATAAATTCCCTCTGTGCATGTTTAACAGCACAACTACAACATACAACACAGTCAGGATTCATGTTCTAACTCCATTCCCCACCACCCTAAATAGCACCAGTAGACTACTGTATGATAGTTCCAATCATTCAACACATGTGCAGTCTCAGCTTTTTCCTACAATCTTTATCTTTATCAAAAGATGTAGCAAGATTTCTACAGGGAACACACAAAAATATGTTTCTAACTCTTCACAGAACTGATTCTTTGAATACATCTCATTTTCCAAATCCATGTTTTTTAATTGGATCAACATACTACCAACAGTCACCAAAGTATCCATAGTTTTATCCAGGAGCATTTTCTATTGAACTTGCTGTTCTGTGGTTACAAAATAGGTAATAGGCCCCTTAAGAAACACTGGAATCCACACCTTCTACACTAACACTGGAAAATGAAGGATAAACAGTAATATTAAGGAATCTCTAGGTGAGTTAATCTAAGGGTAAATGCTATATCCCACCAAATTAAAAACATACTGTTTATATTGAAGTACCTGTTTTGATGGCATCTGCATTCAACAAACCAGGGCTTTTAACCTTACAGTTAGCACTAAAATATCAAGAATAATACCACTACTATCCCTTCTTCACAATATCTGTAGTTGAGAAAAAGTTGACCTAAAATACTTACTGTTTTTTCTGCCTTCATAACTTCTAAAACATCTAATTCAAAGTCAGCAGAAACAGATATTATGTAAAGCAACTTGAGCCACTGTCATTATTTATGGAAAAAACCTATCTAGTCGACTAGGTAGGGAAATTCCTGTCCCTTTCCTCCTTAACATACATACATGGTAAAACTAGATAATAATATAACCTTATTACTGTGACCTTCACACTTTTCTTTTTTTATTTATTATTTTCCAAGTGAATTTAGGATTTGACACTGCTCCAATATAGATGAGTACCACACAGACATCAGTTGTTGGAATGACTGGGGGAATACTGTTGGTATACATCAGTTACTTCCAAGATTATACTGAAAGGGTAAATTCTTCAAGGAGAAAATTGCTCCTTTTGTTCATCTTCTTTTTGTACTCTACAGCTACCTCTGTATTCTACAATACAGAGCGTTACTTCACTGCTTCATGGCCTTTTAATTGTGAAAAACTCTGATGGTCCAGCCCAAAAGAAAACTATGTAACCCTCTAACATACTGGGCCATATGTGGCCCACCTCAAGTGCCGCTTGCCCACTACCAAGGTTACATCCTAAATGGTAACAGCAGCAAGTGACTTACAACTTCTGTGTGAAGCAAGGTATTTCTGAACCACACGGGCAAGTCAAATGTGAGCCTTGACACTGCTATCAGCAAGAAAAAGTTACATTTATTATAGCAAAAGTCTTTCTCTGTATACATTTATGCATATGAACGCTAAAGAATTCCTTTACTTCATCTAATACAGGAACTTATTTGCCAAACACTACAGGGTAAGTTGCTTTTGCAATTTCAATTCTTCAGAATACAGTAGAGATTTTCATGGAAGAACAGATTTACACTAGCTTATGTAGTTTTCTCAATTCTGTTATTTAAAAAAAAATCACACAATTTAGTAAAATATTGAAACATATCCAGGCTTATTCTCAAATTCAGATTTATACTACCTTTTTCTAAACATTGCTAAAATAAAATCAGATTAAAATATTTACTGTAGGTGTAATATTATCAAGACAAACAGAATGCCAGTGACATGCGTAACATCTAACATTATTTCAACGTTATGCTCAACACAATATGTGCACAACATTTTAGGAAAGCCTACAAACCAGTTTAGAAAATAATTTATGTCAGTGGATAACTGGTGTTGCTTGCATATTTCTAAATGTTTAGAAGAAACATATTTTCTTAATATTTACTGTTATATAATTGTATTGTCATTGAAAATCAGAACTGAACTACCATGTCAAAATATTACAAGATAAAATGTTGAGTGCATACAAATCAATGATACAGAGTGCAACAATTATTATGATTACTTTATGCCACTTCTACAAAAATACAAATTAATTTTATCACAAAAACATCTATTACAAAAATTCTCATTTATTTTTTTTAAACTGTGCACATATCATATTGCAAAAGCAAAGGAAAAGTAGAGGCATGCTCACAAAAGCTGCAGAGAGGAATACCATGCATACTGTTCACAACAACTCACAGATTATGAGTAAGCTATTTGAAAAACAGGTAAGCCTTTAATGCCACACATTGCTTTCATTTTAATGACAGTAATTCCCCTTGCCTTCAGTAAGAATTACACCTGTGTAAATGAAAGCAAATGTAGGCCAGGAAATGTCTACCATAAAAGAAAATAACTTTAAACAGAAAAAAGGCTCTAACCACTTTGTCCTCCTGGAGTTCACATCCACGAAAGCAAGAAAGAAAGGACAGAAAAAAAAAAAAGAAAAAAAAAAACACAAAGAAGGAAAGAGTCACTTTCATTTCGAAAGCAAGCAGTAGTATTTATTAGTAAAATAAACAAATAAATAGCAAAGGAATTAATATATATCTTTCTTATTTTCTCCAGTGGTGAGGTAGAACTAGTGAAAAATAAGTAATTTTAATAATTTTCATAATCTTTTCATGGATGAAATTAAGACAATCTTATATATAAAAAAATATTTATACAAAAAAAATTTGGGGATTCATATCAGAATTACCTTAATAAAACAGGTGGGTCATCTTATAAAAAGGATGCAGCATTTTGCCCTACATTCCTTGGACCCCAGTATGGTAAATAATTAGCATTCATCAACACTTTGCCCTTGCAAAGAGTTCAGCAAAATTAAAAATGTTTGTTTACTACAGACAGATAGAGGGTGTGCATAATGGCATAACTGCATGTTAGCCACTCGACAGATCTTTAAAGTCCTGGAGTTCTAAAGCACAAAGAGACAGAATTTGTCACAAGTGTTCACTGCATGTGCTGTCAGATCTATAATATTTATACTTTCTTTTTCATACTCATCAATATTAAACAAAAACATTCCTAATAGTTATTTTCCTTGAAGGAATTGTCTTTTTAGCTGGCTAAAATTGTAAATTAAATAATACTTTAGAAAACAAAAATATTCAAAATGTTTTCAGTCAAAACTAAACTCCGTTTTTGTGAATGAGTAATGGTGATTTTTGTCTGGTACCTTAATTTCACATGCCAATACAGAGACTAAACCTAGGCATGGAATTAAGCATTGGCTTTGCTGGAAATACACCAAGAAAGGGTGACAACTTATTTTATAGCTTTGTTGTTTAGATACCTGTATGATATGTAACTTTATAACATGTAATTCTTATAGAAGGTTTCGGTTCCCTCCAATCCTAGAGTTACAAAGAAACAGGAGAGAATACAACAGAGGCCAAACGACAGTCAGGCAATAAAACATACAGTATACAAGGAGAAGCTGAGGGAGATAGGATTGTTCAGCCTAAAGAAGGCTGGGGTAGGGAAGGGCATGGGAAGAGGGGAACTACTTGCATTCCTTAACTACTTAAAGGTTAGCTATAGGGAACACAAAGACAATCTTGAAGATGCACAGCTAATAGACAAAATACAACAATCAAGGTATTGCATTGAACATTAAAAAAAAAAAAGGAAAATCAAAGTAGTCGTTAATCACTGAAATAAGTTGCCCAAAGAGGTTAGAGATTCTCCATCGTAGAAGGGTTTTGCAATTCAGTTGAACAGAGTCCTTAAAACCTGTGTGGAGCAGGAGAGTGGTCTAGGTAACCTCCATAAATCCCATCTGACCCAATTTATTCTGTCATCCTATGGACAGTGGCAAAAGATTGAAGTATTTTCAAAGAAGCTATGGGGTTTAATGGTATTCTCAGGTATACAATACTATATCATTTACGATGATATAGTAAATATCATTGGAAACTAAATCACAGAATGTCTGTTATCACTCTGTGTGCAGAAACACATTTATCTGCTCAGCACCAGGTGCTCTGATACTTTCCTAGCAGGACTTCCTGTCCCAGTGCAATAAGAGTAGCAGTAATGCTCAGAGATATTTTACACGGAAACATCTAGTGCCACAGTTTCTCATCCTCACCTCTGAAGAGATATACTCCACTATCCAAGAAGATTATACTCCTGTCATTCACACTTTGATCATAACAGTAACCAAGACTTGGTTCACACAACTGACCTATGTTGAATAACCTCCAGGATGAAGAATCTTTTTAGAGAAACAGGCTACAAAATATAAAGATATGTGAAGTTCAAGACAAGCCATCACACTTTACCAAACATCTAAGAATGCCTTCAGCCTCTCAGCTTCCTCCCCACACATTGTCAAACACTCTTGAGTTCATAGCAATACACTGCAAACAATGACATATCTGACTATATGAAAGACAATCTAGCCAGTCATTTCAATAGCAAAGACATTAGAGAAATTATTCAATTCTGTTCTCAAAAAACTGATGCTACAAAAGCAACAAATTGGTCAGATTTCAGTGGTATTTGTCCTGTTCCACATGAAAATGGAAGCATGTTTTAATAGTGGTTTTATGGAGAAAGACCGTATCTCCATGAGTATTCAGACACACAGAAATATTAGCAGAATTACTGGAATTCCATTCTATACTCAAAATAAATCTAGAATGAGTCAATATCTATAACTTATCCTTTTTAAAAAACATCTTTTAGAAGGTCAATCTGGCATCTGACTGCATGAGTCAAAGCCACTCTTTAAGACAGTATTTTCCTCACCTTAAGTGCCTAAAATCATGAATCTCAGTGAAATTATGAGTTCTTCATTGTTTCAGTATCATAATAACCTCTAAGGTTTATGAAAGCTTTGAAGTAGTGAAGAGTTAAAACACACGTAACCTCTGTTGAAATTGAGACCATCTGCTGTTTAATGAGATTCAGAAGAGCTATCAAATGTAAATAGTTTCAAATAAATAAAATTAATAACAGAAATAATTTGTGCAGTTGTCATTTGAAGGGAATGATGGTATCCACATAGTTTGTATTAAAATCACAGGGGTTTTTTGAGCAATCAAGAGAATCCAAGGTATCAATACAGAAATGCAGATTCTGAATATCAGTTGTGCTAGGTATCAGCTGGCATGCAAAGTTTACAGACTGGAAAGGAGCAACATCTCCTGGCTGAAAATGGTAGTTGTGGCAAGATTTTTAGTCCTATTATTAAATTTGAAGTTTTTAACTGAAGTATTATACTGGGACAGTGCACTACTTCTGTACTGTCTTGGCAGAAGCAGGGTCAGCAGCTTGGCCAGGGCCAGGAGCAGAGCACAAAGAGTGGTGTGAGGCAGACCATGCTCCCCCCTGCATGGTTGTGTCCCACAGAATGCACCCAAGGGAAACAGGATAGTGCTCACAACTGTAACTAAGGTCAGCAAAGAATCCAGGTCCCCAGCAGGTCCACAGTGATGAGGGAGAGCTGAGGCAATTCAGGAAGCCGATGAGGCAATTCGGGAAGCCAAGCCTACAGCTTTGGCTCAGAAAGGGAACCAGACAGGTCAGCAGCACAGCTCAGGCAGGGACCAAGGCTCAGTGCCTGAGCAGCTCCCAGGTAAGGGACTGGAGCTCCCAAGAGGGCTTATTGCAGATCGTCCTCACGCAGCTCTTTCCGCAAGGCTGATGATCCCAGGTTACAGCTGCACCACATCAGAGAAGCCAAATGCCATTAGGGAATGAGTGAGGAAAGCTACTAAGGACCATGAGGTATACCAGCTGAACTGTGGTCCTGATAAGTTTGGGTATAACTTTCAAAAGAATAGAGACGGATCACCTCAAATAAAATGGAGCTAATCACTGTTTAGAGATGTCTTAACAGTCATAGACATTCACTATTACATTAACATTGTTCCAATATAACCAGAACCAAATTTCAGATTGGAAGTCTTCAATATAATACAAATTCTATTCTATTCATGGGGAGACTGAGATGGGAAACTAATCCTAATGATAGGGATAACTTTTTCACCCTCCAATTGTGAATTTACAACTTCTGAATGAGAGACTGTCTTTCAAATAATTTAGCAGCTGACTTTCCTTTTTTTCAGAGATACTTGTTCTGAGACACTCCAGAAAGACAAATATATTTGTAGGTTATCAGATTTTAGAAGCATTACACGGACTAAACTGAATAGAAAAAAAAAAACCACACGTGGTTAGAGAAATCCTTTCCTCAAGTTTGTAATGTCACCTGTCTCTTGTAGAGAAATGCAGAATCAAACCACGTCTTCTAAGGACCAACTTATTTGTAAGCAAATCATTGAGTTTATCTCAAATCCTAGTGACTTTAAAAACCTGATTGTGACAGACTAATTCTTTGGTGCCTGACAATTCTCAACAGAATGAAATGGATTATGCATTAGCACAGGCACGCTAAAATTCTGTGTTGTGACTCCAGACAGATGGTCATATCACAAGTCCTGCAATTAGAAGAGAACTTCATGTTTTGCTGTAAATCAAACATAGCCCCAGAGAAATAATCAAAATGCAAAGCTTTCACTGAACCAGAGGGAGCTGAGAGAAGTTCCCTACTTGTGTTTCCCATGATGTTGCTGAATTCTATAAAACAACTGAAAATCTCTTGCTTTCATTCTTCAAAGACAAAAAAAGAAGGATGTTTCAGTGGCTGCAAGTGATAGCAGGTTGTCAAACACCCTGAAAGGTTTTCAGCATGCATTTAATTAAGTCTTCAGACAAGTATTTTTTTCTTTCTGTACAAGTGAAATGTTGGTTTACTGAACTGGAATTCTGAGCTACTGAAGTTTATATTCAATGTTGTATCTATCTGAAAGCTGCATTTTTCCAATATTTTAGCATTTAAATTTCTCACCTGTATAAACCTCATTCTGCTGTCAGCTGCCTCATTCAATGTGCATTTCCCTATATAAATCAGCATAAAATAAAGAAAAAGAACAGTAGTATATTTTATATATCAGTGGTACTCTTTTCACTGAGAAAAATTTCTGCTTGCTGTCATGTGATTTATTACTTCAGTTTTAATCAGTCTGAAATTGTTCATAAACATAAAACACGACAGTTCAAGGTTCCTTACTCCCTTGAAATTTCAGCCCTCATTCTGGCTGAATATTCCATTCATTAACATAATAAGCTGTACAGAAGAAAAAGTGCCACCATTATCAGTTTTATTCGTTTGATCTAGAAGGAACTCCCACATAATGATAATTTTTCAGCTTGAACTGAATGCTAATGCCTATATATTTCAAGCACTGTAACTAAATTGAAAAAGGAATAAATCACCCAAACATTCTGAGAATCCTAATCTAATGCTCTGACATTTCCATGGCCTGCTCCTACTCATGACCATGAACTTTGTAAGCAGTAGTCAGCGTTTTGACCTTTGAAAGAGAAGTGTTCTTACCAATTCTCCATCATCTGAGGTGCATGCTGCTAATACTGGTCTGTACTAAACTATTTAGTAGCTGAATCTGGTGTAAAAGGCATGAGTTTGGCTTGAAAATTGATATTATGAAGAAGATCACGAACAGACGAAGCAGACCCATGAAAGAACATTTCAGACAGTGTAAGAATCTCCTTATGTAAGAATGTCCAAAGCAGACATATATATAACCTGTCAAAAATGTATACAAACACCAAAGACAGCAAAGTTAAAACAGAAAGTTATCAGAAGCAATTTTTCAAGAAGTTGAAGTTGTATCCATGAAGGAAAACAGAGAAGAATGAATCCTGGTAAATTCTGGTAGGTCTAAATAATTTTAATGAAATATTGAGTATAGGCACAAAAGAGAACATAAAGAGGAGGCTACCACAGTCTTTCTGAATTAGATCTTTCATGTTCATATTCATGGTGATTAGAAAAATATTTAGTCTAGAATATAATTTTTGCAGAATGAACTGGAATATATACTTTTAACTGATATTTCAGAAAGAGAAGGTAAATAGGGAATCAACAAAAAAAACAGTAAAAAATTTTTTAAATGAGATGATATTTAGTGTAAAACATCTCAAGTCTAAAATAATTGTTAACTGCAATAGTCTTTCATTGACAAGAAGTATAAAAGGTGGCAAAAATGCCAATTTATTAATTTTTAAGGAGTTTCAGCATTATATCAACTGAAAAATAGACAAATGAGTCTGACATCCACATTAGACAGATTTGTACAAACCAAAATACAGAATAAAATTAGCAAGCATATGAATAAATTATGATAAAATGTGGAAAAGTAAGAACGGCTTTAGTAGAGGGAATTTGTGTCTGTTACATATACTAGAATTCTTCCAAGGAGTCACAGAGAAAGTGAGAAAAGGGGATTTATTCCTACTGCTGAGTTGGAATTACAGACTTCTAAAGAATCTCAGCTGCCATGGAATAGGAACAAATTCATCCATGAGAAAACTCAATTAAAGAAAAGACAAGAACAAAAAGACAGGACTAAATAGCCAGGCTTTTTTTGAGGGAAAGGCATCACCAGTGAAGCCTCACAAGGAATCAGTCTAGAGTCACTCTGTTCAGCATATTCATGAATTATCTAGAATAAAAATGAATGAGACACAGAAAAGCCTCACACTAAATTAGCAACAGTAGTAGAAAAAAATGCCAGTTGAGAAGAGTTTTAGAACAGACTCATAACAGACTGAATAGAGAAGCCAGCTTACAGAAAGACAGATTTAGGTTAGATGGTAAAGAAATCTTTCTGTGGTGAGCATTGTGAAGCAATGGAGCAAATTACCAAAGAGGCCATGGAAGAATCTCGTTGCAAATCTGTCAAGAGACTTCAGACAAATATCTGCCACGTTCACATGCTCCATCCCAAGGAAAGTCTAAACGGTGTATTAGGAAATGAAGCTGCCTCCCTAATGCACTTTTTCTATGTTTGCAAGTATGTAGGCATAATGACTCAAATATCTGTCCTCACTGGCATTCATAATCAGATGAAATTACTTCAGAAATTATCTCTCTTATTACCGGCAACAATTTAGTTAGTTATAAAAAACAAATAAAAATATGTGAACTTACTGAAGACAAAATTGTTCAATTATCTTAATGAAATCCAAGGCAATTTGAGACACTTACATATAATCTTATTTACATTAATAATCAGGAAATATTATTATACTTTTGGTATATTTTTATTTTTTTTATTATCATATACTTTGTCAGTCAAAAACTTCAGTCCATTATTTAAACATACCTTTCAATATTAGACAAAGAAATACATACCATGCATACCATTGTCTCCTAGCTTCCAAAAGATGATATTTACTGATTGCATGATATTTGCAAAAAGCATATTACAAGAAAAAAATGGATTTATGGAAATAAATAATATAAAAATATTTTAATAATAAATATTAAAATATTGCATTCTTGTATTGCTTTAAAAAATTGTGTTTCCACAAAAGACTAGCATAATACAGCTAGAGTATTGTCATAAATCTTCTACAAGTATGTGTCAGAATCTGAGATTCTGTGTATCAGATCTGAACATTATATCTGAAATGCTGAATAAATTGATCTCAAGAGTTTTCTGTGATTACTTCAGTTGTGCTGAATTTTTTACTCTATCATTCAACTTTTTAAGAAACTCAGAATGTGTTTTGCCTATTGTTATACAATAAACACCAGTATATACTAGTTGTAACAATATATATTAATGCATTTAATTTTTTCCTAAAAATAGTTTGACATTTGCATGTGTATGTATATAATAAATATGCATAATATATGTGCATATGTATAATAGATAAGAAAGGTTTAAAAGCACAATATTATATTATATATAATATTCTAACACTACTTTTACCATAATCTTGTGCAGAAGTGCCTGGGCAAGCAAGAGAGAAACAAAGCCTTGCTCTACCCTGTAATAATCAATGTCTCAGTAGATCACTAGATATACTTCCCTGTCTTAAACAGTGGCTCACCCTCCAATCAAAGAATTGTCCTTTCATGAGCTTGTTAGTCGAAAAATTATACATATTAACTTAAAAGTCGTAATCACAAATCCATCTGCAACTGGAAATTACATGAAATGAGGACAGATGTCTTAAAAGCCCCTGAAGTAGATATCATTACCTCCTTAAAGGAAATCTGTTTCAGTAGTTATGTGATTTGTATGCATAAGCAATGAATAAGAGATACTGAGTTCAGGAGAAGCTTGTTAAACTCTCGTAACTCCATACCTTATTTGACCGTAAAGACACTCTTCCTCCACAGCGTGCACAGAATTTAGTTTGGCAATATGAACAGTTATGGCCACAGCCATCAGCAAATTTTGTTTTGTGGCAGATGCCACAGGTTGGGGCATCACCCTTCTGCTCCTGCTGCTGCTGTGATTCTTCACCCATCTTCTTCACTTGCTCCTTATACATTTCAAACTGCTGATGTAATTTTCTGCAGAAGAGAACATACAAATACAATTAAAATACAAATCAGAGTGAAATACTGTAGTAAAGCAAATACATTTAATTTACGATGCTCCAGAAGTGTTACATTCAAGAATTACTTCTTTTTCATTATAACTAAAATCTAGGAGGAAGCTCAGCACTGATAGCACTCAGCTCACAGTCCAGCTGTTACAAAGGGAAGTAACTCTGATTCAGGATGTGACCAGCTGTTTGCTGAAAATACAACAGTAAGAAACAGGTTGAGTGATCAAAGAGCCCATAGCACTAGACAATAAACTGGTTAATAGCAGGAAAAAAAAATCAAATTCATTCTTCCAAGTGTTCTTTTACCTAATTCCACCAGACAGATGCAGATATCTTCTTTTGATATAGCTTATCATCATTTATCTAACAATACTTCATAGAATAATGATTCTAAAATGCTTTTTCAATGACTTTTCAATCACCGGGTTCAAGCCCATAAGTAACCTCATCTTAGCAACTGATTATAAATCATTTAAGCCATTCATATCATTAGAGAGGAACTACCATCTTATGTAAAACGTAAGGTAGAAGACTACCTTAGGTGTAAAATCCAGGAATAGTAGTTTAAGACACACACACACACATTTACCTTCCATTTGTAGAACTGGAAACACATGCATAGTCAGTGGCCATGTGTGTACAGAATTGCAATGAATCTTTCAGTCCTGCTACATCATTCATATTTCTGAGTCTGCAATTATGAAATCTCCGTATATGATAATTAGGCGTGTCTCACTATGACCAAACTTACAGATTTATTTCATGATCTATAATGGCAGCTTTTTCTCAAAATCCCTGTTTCAGAAGGTAAATGATGTTATGGGAAATTTAATTTTCATTATAAAAAGTCATAATTTTTTGCTCTCCCAGATTCTGAAAAAGATGCAAAATGTGACATCGCAAATTTTATGAGATTCAAATATAAAGAGAAAACAAAAGGAATTTTGTTTTCTCTTTTATCCTTATCATTCAAAGGGGTCTGAACAGTGATATTTAAATTCATAGCACGGAATTCAACTCACTAATTTTGCTAATAGAGTATGCACATTTTAGCAAATTAAAAGTTATTAATCAAATTTAAGCAAATTATTAGTTCCTTGAAAGCAAAACCCCAAGAATGAAGCACTTTCTATGAAACATTAAAAAGGTAACCTAAAAAAAGATACTAAAATTGCAAAAGACATTTATTTGTCCTTAGAATTATCCTTCTAGAGACTCTTGAGTTTAGGTCATTAAAAAACACACATGAAGCATAGGATAGAACAAAAAATAACCTCCTAGAAAAAAATTAAATCCAGAAGACCAACTTCCTTAAGCGTAAATATATCCTTTATATAGATCAGATATAAATTAATGATGAAAAACTATTTCATCAGAAGTGTTAGAGGCTCCTATGAAAACAAATACCACACAGAGTCACTTAAAGATTAACTTAAGCAGTTATTTACCACAGATATTCACACATATGGCAAGAATTGTTGGGATTTGCTTTGTTTTTCAGGAAAACTCCCCTAAGAACATACTTCACATTACTCTACAGAGGAATTGTAGGAACAAATGGGCAGCTCCCTCTCTCCATCAGGCAAGACGGGAGGCTGGAGGCCTTCCTCTTCCTCTGTGTCCCAAACTGCTGCCTCGAGCCCTCAGCTACCACTGACCCTTTCCCAGACGGAGGGAAAGCAGGGTTGCTTTGTCTTGCTTTTGTGTCATTTATCTAATGTACCTCCTTCTGTCACTTTGAGACCAACTCTGAGTGCACAGGCTGGCCTCAGGGTACAGCAGCACGGACTCAGAATAACAGTGGCACGCTCTTCTCTCACTTTCAGCCCTTCCCACCTTCACAAGCCTCCTGACCTGCAGCACACCAGGGACAGGGGTCTCGTCTGAGGCATCCAAGGGAAGGATGTGAAGGATGTCATTGCCCTGAAAGCCACTGGGGGAGTCAGGGGTGAGGGGCTTCCTCTGCCTCCTCACTGGTCCAACAGAGCTCACTATTGAGTGTTGAATGGGGAAGGACACAAGTTACTAATAAGCGAGAGCTGAATGAAGTTAAAACAAAATTTAGAAATCTGGAAACCTCGCACATTTCAGCGTTTTACACTGACAACAGTATATAATTGGTAGTTGGTAGTCTGGCCTGTTTCCATCAATAACACATGAAAGCTCTGAGATCTTGCTTGCCTTTTAATTTTGCTTAACGTTGCATTCTTCATTTAAAGCATATTAACTATGCTGAACTCCAAGTTTATTTTTAGGCTCCATTCAGTTTTGTGGCTTCCTTATAATCTACAGCCTTTGTTTGTATGATTATTTGCTTACCAGTCTCACTGATGCATAAAAAGCACAAGCCTTTTGCCAAATCTTAAGCCTCGTGTACTGAAATAATTTCACTTTCATTTCCTCTTGAGCACAAGAATCTATGTAAAGGTCACAACTTTTCCCTCAAAGTATAAACTTTTCAAGGTTGTACAGAGTAGTTTTCTAAAATCCTTGTTCTAGCAGGAAACAATTTATCATCTGCCAAAGTAGTTCTTTACTACACCTTTTTCTGTTCCAAGAAAAATATTACATGTATTGATAGCTATCAGAAAAAATTAAACGCAGAAGAATCTATGAAATATTCATTTACACACAATATGTGTTCTACTTACTAAACAGAACCACTTGAGATGAATATGCATACTTGAAACAAAATACAAAATATTCATTTTAGGAAGTTTGTTAAAAAAGTGTTTATTTTGTAGATAAATAATTTTTTTGCTTATCCAGCCTGCACGGGTTTAAGCCAGAAATTAAGCTAATAACATACAGTAATAATTAGGTGTTTAGAATAGAATGGTATCTGAAACACATTTAGTAAAAAATGTTTAAGATATACTTTTCAGAAAACATAATGCAAATAAAACTCCATTTTGTTCAAGCTGTCTGCACTCATATTTTAACTCTGAACATTGCTGCCTGAAAGGGCTTGGGAGTTCAGTTACCAGGGGAAGAAAGTAACCAGTATCAAGACAAACTTCAGAGCCTGGAACTGAACTAGGGTATTCAAAAACTACAATTTCCAGTCTTTATATCCAGTGAGTTAGTCTGTTAATGCAAGTGGTCAAGACCCATCCATGATTCATAGAATAGTTTAGGTTGGAATAGACCTTTAAGATCATTAAGTCCAACTGTTAACTTAGAACTGCCAATTCCACTACTAAACTATGTCCCCAGGTGCCACGTCCATATGTCTTTTAAATACCTCCAGGGATGGTGACTAAAATACTTCCCTGGACAGCTTGTTTCAATGCTTGAAAACCCTTCCTGTGAAGAAATTGTTCTTACTATACAAAGTAAACCTCCCTTGGTGCAATTAGAGGCCATTTTCTCTTGTCCTGTTCCTTGTTACCTGGGAGAAGAGGTCGACACCCTCCTACAACCTCCTTGCAGGTAGTTGAAGAGAGTGATAAGGTCTCCCCTTCAGCCTCCTTTGCTCCAGGCTAAAGATCCCCAGCTGCCTCAGCCACCCCTCATCAGATTTGTGCTCTAGATTTTTCGCCAGCTTCATTGTCCTTCTTTGCACACACTCCAGCACCTCAGTATGTCTCTTGTAGTGAAAAAAAGGGTTCCATACAGGAGTTGCATTCTAGGCCAAAATGCTTATCCGTAATGAAAAACCTTATTCTTATGCATGATAGGGAAATTGTTTTGGTTGTAAACCCAGATAACTATATCAAACCACACAGTAACAAATCATTTAAGTAGAAAACTCAGCAATGCATATCTATAACCCTTATATATGTGTATTTTGACAATGGCCTCAATAGCACATGCCATCTAGCTGTATGATGCAAAGTCTCTCACCTTTATTACATTTGTTTCAAAAATACATGTACTTTAATAATGGTTATAAATTTTAGAGGAAAAATAGAACATGGTATGAATTTATGAAAACACTGACTGATAATGAAAAGTGAGGCTGAAAAATTGCTAATTGAGTTCTGCTCATTTTCATCTCTTGATAAAGTTCCCTGAATTACGCCTGTATCTGCTAGAAGTTACAGTGGTGAAGTTCATGAGATTTATATGACTAATCAAGATTTTCTTTGTACTATAAAACATCATATCCAAGACCGCTTCATAGAGGATTTCTCAATGTCAAAGGCAACTGTTTGTAAGAGCTTGGATTGCTCTGTCGAGGTCAATAAATAGAAACTAGTTGAATACTTGCTTTTTTCTGGAAGGGAGTTAATTTAATTCTCCTTATTCTTGCTTTCCCACACCTTTCCAGGAATAAGAAATTCAGTATCAATCAAAAAGCAGTAGACTGTGAGACTCTCATAATCCATGTCAATGGCAAGTAAGAAAAGCAAGTTTAGAAGTCTGATGTTTCTTATTATTGTACAGAAGTTTTTACTTTTTCCCATCCTCCAGAAATGTCCATAAAACTTCCCGCATTTTACCAAAACAACAAAAAAATATTATTGACAAGAAGTTCTGAAACTATTCCTGCCTTCCAAAAGTTCACATAAATATGCATGAAATTTCCAAAGCTGCTTAAAATCTACCATTAGAAGGGTGACTGTTCAGTAAGTGTCCAGGATGTTTAGGCTAGCTGTAAGTCTAACAGCCACTGCTTATTTCCTGGCTACACTTCTAAGTTTTATTACTAATGTAGCCCGTGCCTCATTTCCTATTCCCAGGCACAGAGCACGGATGTGGCTGGAATCCAGGCTTCAAAAAGAGTTTGTGTGCTTTCGGTTCTGCCAAGTCCATTCATTTAACGATTTTTTGCCTGGTGGCCGTGACTATCTAGTAGCATATGACATTCTCCCTGTACGGTACATTTAAAGTTTCTGCTTTTATCATCATGCCAGTTAACCTGTCACCTAGTACACCTACTTCTCTTCTGAATGAATATTATTCTTACATATATATATAACATATATATAACTTCATGCATTGGTAGAGGCTGGGAAA